GGGACAGACAACACCAAATAAGACTCACAACTGACACACACACACACACACACAGAGTGCTTGCTGAATGACAGAAAGCTGACGCTGGTCTCACCGCACGTGCTTTTATAGCTTCCTGGTCATTACGTCACCCGCCCGTGACGTCTCGCCCATCTATTGGTCTGATTACACACGAGGTTCAGAGCCCGTCACGCTGAAGGGCGTTCCCCTAGCGTTTTCCGACGCAGCTCGAGTTCCTGAAGAGGAACATAGTGTTTTAAGTTTGTTGTTATGGCACCATCAAACAAGACCATAATTTTTGTGATCACTGCAAATAGTAAAATCTTTAAAATGTAAATATCTAAAATAAATGTCTTATTGAAACAGATGTTCTGTAATTACATTCAAAGGTATAAAGAAATGAAAAACATGATCATAATATAGCAGCAGATTTCCTGAGGTTTTGATTGGCAGTTCCAGTGTTGATGACATCATGCCGTGTTGTTGTTGATGTCCATCCGGCTGATGAGCTCTGTGACGAGCGCCTGCAGCGTCTCTGAATGCATTTTGCTCACTTCCAGCACAGCTTCATGATTGACAGACTCATTGTCCTCATAGCTTTTCACTACTTTGTTAGTGATGAGGGAGAGACCAAAGACTCTCATGCCACAATGACTGGCAACCAACACTTCTGGTGCAGTACTCATTCCTTTAAAGGCAAATTAGACATAAATTAAAATTAAAATGCATAATTATGACAATATAACAATATGACTTACAATTTCTATACAATACACAGTTGTGTATCAACCTAGCAATTTGGCCATAATGGCCAACTGGCTTTTTATATGACTGCTTACCAACTACAAATATAAATGCACTTGGAATATTGATTTAAGTTTAAGAAATTAATATATTATAATATATTAATATAATACATTATATTAATATATTAAATCTATTATGAATATGATAAAAATCTATAATGTCACAGCATGATACAAGATATGCGAAACTAACACAGCTGTGCAGGAAATCAGTAGCCTGGCACAGTGGCAAATATACAGCTTAACGGTCATGACAGACAAATATGTGACCCTGGACCACAAAACCAGTCATAAGGGTCAATTTTTCGAAATTGAGATTTATACATGATCTGAAAGCGGAATAAATAAGCTTTCCATTGATGTAACCCCAGCGACTTAAGGCTGGTTTTGTGCTCCAGGGTCACATATTTGTCTGCGGAATGCAGTGACTGACCAATCAGAATCAAGTATTCCAGAGAGCTGTGCAATAAAGGAGCTTATTCATCAGGCAGAGAAAAAAAACTAATATTCAGCACTTTTAGGGACATTTAAACATAAAAAATAAAAACAAAAACTAGGTATGCATGATATATTGGTTTTAAGTCAATATTAGATTAATTTATTGGTATTGATCGGTATTGAATATTTAATTGTGCATGCTAATATCCTCTATTTTTACATTTAATAAAACACTAATAGTTTAATAATGCAGTTAAATATAATCGTCATCCAATCTCTATATGAAATATGGAAGCCATTGACTTCCACATTATTATTTTTTTCCATGCAATGGAAGTCAATGGCTACCAGCAACTGATTGGTTTTCAACATTCTTCAAGAATATCTTGGAATTTCCAGAAGAAACTCATACAGGTTTGGAACAACTTGAGTAAATTATAAAAAAAAAAAAAATTTTTGGGGTGAACTATCTCTTAATGAAAGTGTTGCTAAGTTACATCATCAGTCAAAGTTACAGCCTAAGCTGGATTTTTTGAAAAGCTTAAATGCCCATTCATTGTTTAAGCAATTTAAAGATTTGGATTAGATATGAATTGTATTGATTTTACGAAACGAGTCATCAGCTTACCAACTGCATCCACTCCCAGTCGGTGCAGAAGGCGGGCCTCAGCTATGCTCTCAAAGTTGGGTCCTCCCACCATGCAGTAGACGCCCTCTTGAACACACTGGGAGACACCCATGCTCTTACAGATGTCGAACGCCATCTTCCGTAGGCTTTTGTCATAGACCCCAGACATGGGCGGAAATCGAGGACCAAACCTTGACAGCGACCGATAAATGATTACATTCCTTTTACTGGGGATTCTAATGAATGAACGCTTTTTAAACTCACTTCAACATGCACACTGATACTCACTTATCATCATTAGGGCCATTTAGAGGGTTCAGTCCAGCAAGTCCAGGGAAGTTAATGTGGTCACGTATGATCATAATATCACCACAGCTATACCTGTCTGCTAATGACCCTGCTGCATTAGTGACAATCAAGGTTTCGACACCCAGAAGCTTGAACACTCTTACTGGAAAAGTGACCTGAGGAACACAAGCACAAATTCTGGTAACTGTTAATCCATTTTCAACATCCAGTGCCTTTGTAATAAACCTTCAAGAGCTTGTGAGTGTACTGTACAGGCATGCTATCAATAAGCCTTTTTAATCTAACTGTCTAACCACACACAATTTTCACTGAATGGTACATTGTGCTCTGATATACAGCATGTGACTCAAATCAGCATGACCAGGATGGAGCGGAGTGAATATACTGTGCGGGCATCCAAAAAGAAAAAGGAATCTCCTTAGTCTATCATCATTTTAGACTGCAGCATGACACAGCATGTATAGAACAGTGTTTTGGGGATACTTTTGGAATGCAATATAATTCTGTTATATAATATAATTCTATTTGTGACACATGATGAAACTGTCAAGATAGACAGATTTTGTATTAACCTGAGTCATTAAGCAAATAAAGCCTGATGGGACTGTGTTAAACCGTGTTAGCTCAAGAAAGATACATACTTACCAAGGTGAACTGAAGTGAAAAAATATCACTGAAAAGTTTAGGGTCAGTAAGATTTTCTTTTGAAAGAAATTAATATAGTACTTTTATTCAGCAAGGATGCATTCAATTGATTAAAAGCGATAGTAAAGACATATATAAGGTTACAAAATATTTCTATTTTAAATAAATGCTGTTTCCCAAAAAATATTAAGCAGCATTACTGTTTTTAGCATTGATAATAATAAGAAGAAGTATTTCTTGAGCATCAAATCAACATATTAGAATAATTTCTGAAGGGTCATGTGACACTGAAGATTAAAGTAATGACTGTTAAAAAATCATTTTATATAACAGAAATAAACGTAAAAATATATTCAAATAGAAAACAGTTATTTATTAGAGATCTATTTTACAATATTACTGTTTCTACTGTATTTTTGATCAAATAAACACAGCCTTGGTGAGCATAAGAGACTTTTTCCAAAACAATATAACACCAAATGTTTGAACAATAATTTATGGAAAAGAAGGATGGCATGAAAAGATCAAACCTTGCTTAGCGAGTGTCCCTCATACATGTGGAATCGGCCCTGCATGCACACACAGGTCTTCCCTTTGAGCTCTCCAAAAACCAGCCTTCCAGCATGACCCTTCACTGTTTGAATATACAAACACTTAGTCAAGACACATTATCACATACAACATAGACTACAAAAATGTTTTTATAATTTTGTTTTAATCCATTTAACATCACAATACTGTCAACATTATTCAAGTTGCAACTTGACTTTCTTTTCTCTCTGATTTAATCAAAAATGGTCAAAAAAGTGCAATGAATCTGCTGGTTGTAATCTTGGCACTTTAAAATTTAAGGCGCCATTTAAACCAAAATTCTTGATTTCTGTAGGTTAAAAAAGTTTAACAGTGTAACATGCTAGCATAATATACATTTTTTTAGCTAGTACTTTATTTCTGCAAATGGACAAAAAAACTGATGCAAATACATTGTTACATGCTCTGAGCTGCATCTTACCTGTGCTTTGAGGAAAGCCAGGGATGTCCGAGTATTTGAACGAGTCTTGGCATTTGAGCGCATCCGCAAGCATTCCCAGTCCAGAACCGCAGACGATGGCTACTTTAGGTCTGTGTTGTGTCTGGGACAGCAGCCAGTCTGCCGTTCTCTGATAGTCCTCATGGCTGGTGATGAGAAAACATCAGGTTTATTAAACTGACTCTATATTCATTATAAGGAATTGTGAAATTTAAAACATCAATTCAACTAAAATAAAACAGGCAATTCATTTGCTGCACATTGTGGTCTGTTCCATAACAGTTTTTAAAATAGCCCATATTAGGTCTATTGTGACTAATACAAAGTATTATATTGACATTATTGATTAAATATGGCAAATATCCCTTTGCTTGACCAGAATCATGTTTTATACTGTGAAATGACATACAATACCCAGAATTCAACAGCATTAAACAGAGCTACACTTTTACATTTTTGACAAAAAGTACCTCTATGTATGATATTTTCCTTCATATACACAATCCTAAGATGGAAAGAAAACTGACCAGATTTGATCTTTACTATGCATGTTGGTCTTGTGTGTTCGTCTTGAAGAAAGTTCCAAACCGAAGAGTGATCCTGGTGTGTGAATGAGAGAGTAGCTCTCTCCATTTAAGTAAAGCTAATGCCTGACCTCACTAACACACACAAACGCTCTGATTGGTTACAACTTAGTATTATAGTTTAGTCATGCCAAATGAAATGTCTTGTAATTTGTAGGTGTGTCTGAGTTTAAATATCAGAGGCAAGCTACACTTTTAATCAGATTTGGGGGATGTAAGCTTTTAAACCACATAAGAAAGTCTGGATACATTACAAATTCAAAGTTTAAGTGCATCACAAAGGGATTTTTTTTTGTTGACAATCATAATAACCAGAAATGATCAATTGAGAAGAAAGCAGAATTAATAAAAATAAAAAGAACAACATCTGACTATAGGTAAATTAGACACATTAATTTTCTACTATACTGCCTTTGTTTCCTAGTTGTAGGTATTTTCTAATGTATGCTGAAATAGATGATCAGTATTCTTACTTTTCAGTAAAAGTTTGCAAAATGTACATGTAAAATCAGGCCGACATAATGCAGGTCACAAAGTGTGTATAGATGCAAAATTAACTGCATTAAGCTAACTGAGACTTGTTATTGCACTTGCATATCATTGCTCTTTTGTTGATTTTAATTGCTTCCATTGTCCTCATTTGTAAGTCGCTTTGGATAAAAGTGTCTGCTAAATGTCTAAATGTAAATATATGCAGTATGAGATCTGCCAATGGGTCAGGCTCGAGTTCTGCCACAGGATCCGTAACATGTGAAGCCCATTACCAGGGGTACAGACTCCAACCCAAATCTAAAGCACAGGACCAGAAAAATTTAATTTGGGGACCTCACAAGATTCGTCTGATTGCAAGCAATTTTCCACTTTTAGATGCAGACCCAAAGGCTTGTAAAAACATTTCAAAGGTATAATGCAACTTCTTTTCTCTTGACATTACTATTATTAAGAGAAATGCATTTCACACAGTGGTTGACCCAACTTCTCATTGGCATGCTCTTGAATTGTCCTTGACCAAAACCAAACACTGATACAGCACTTTGTTTCCCACACATTCTTTACTTTTAGAAACAGGATCTGTAAGAAAAAAAAAACACACAGCACATATGGAATATTGATTTGAGTTTTAGAAAAACTAAAATCAAAACTTTTAAAAAAAGAAATACAATTATTTTATGTCACAAGAGAAAGACCAGAGCGTGATACAAGATATGTGAAACTAACACGGAAATGTAGGAAATCAGTTGCCTGGCACAGCGGTCAATACAGTTTTACGGTCATTACAGAAAAATATTTGTCAGCGGAATGCAGTGATTGACCAATCAGAACCAAGTATTCCAAAGAGCCGTGCAATAAAGGAGCTTATTCATCAGGCAGTGAAAAAAAATAATATTCAGCACTTTTAAGGACATTTAAGTATAAAAATAAATAACAACAAAAAGTCAGTATCAGGTTTTGTATTAGTCAGCATTGGATATTTTTTTTGTTAAATGTAATCTTTAGCAAATCTCAATATCTATTTTATACATTATAATAGTGTGATGCCTAAATTCACTTGTAGCAGTTAAAATAAATTATATTATTTATGTATTTTTTAGTGTTTTATTTTTCATTTATTTAGACAAATACTGTCTGGTTATTGGCCATAGCAAGAAAATAATTATCAGCATACTGTATCAACAAGAATTTTAATATCAGTGTATCCCCAAACAAAATTGATCACCCAAGAAAAACAGAACCAACTGAATCTGAAAGCAGCATTTTGATTTCAAGAGCAGACGCAATCCTGTAAACGAGGTCATTTCTATGAGGAACATTCGGCTCTAAACAATAATATTTAAATTTTCAGCATTGCTCTCTCACATACCATCAGTCTGACAATGCGCACCAGAGTCAAGATAGCTTTCAGACACATGAACACCTTTTGTCCCAAGAGGACATGGAAAAATGTGGAAAAATGCATTCCCGGTCACATCTAACTAAGCTCATGTGAGTGATACAATGTAATCAGACAGATAAAGAGAAAGTCAGAGAACAACAGACAGAGAGCGAGAGCGTATCCCTCTCTCTGTAACTACATTAACAATGTTGAGTGCCAAGCATACCCCATGCATCTTGCTCTCTCTCCATCTGCTCAGATGTAATCTGTAGCGTATCAGGCACATGTGATTTCACCCACTGGAATCTGATTGCCCAATTCAATCATTATTAATGGATTCTAAATAAAAACACAAAATATGAGAGGAAATTAAAAAACTCTACTGTATTGTAACATTTGATGTAAATACTGAAATAGCATCGGGGCAGATTAGGAGAAATGTAGCATTACATCACTTGCTCACCACTGGATCCTCTGCAGTGAATGGATGCCATAAAAATTTGAGAATTAAGCAGTATTATGGATAGAGGACTGGTATTTAGCCAGAAGCAACAGTTTGAATTTAAAAACGTCTTAATAATGGATTTGTTTCTTATAAACATGCAGCTGAGCTTTTCGCTTCACAAGTCATTAATTGATGGACTGGAGTGGTGTGGATTACTGTGATGTTTTTATCGGTGTAATGTGCAGGGTCTTTAATGGCAAAACAAGGAAACAAACAACAAAGAACAGGAAACAAAACCACATGCAAAAGGACACCATTATATTCAACAACTGACAAGGCACAAGAGAAACACAAGGGCTATTTATACAGAGGAGAACAAAAGGAACCAATGAGTTGCTGTGGGAACTAACAAGGAGTGGGTGTGGTCCAATGAGTAGCTATGACAACTAATGAGTGTTAACTATTGGGACAAACAAGGCACACAGCAGACAGGGGCAGAACACACACTGGGAAACCATCTCAGGTTACGCATGTAACCACGGTTCCCTGAGAACGAGACACTGCGTCCTCTAGCAATCGCTATGGGGAACGTCTTCGGCATGACCTGTGTCTGAAGCAAACAGCTAAACACAACAATAACATTGGCCGGCGGAACTGCTTCAGTTTATGGCAGTCAGCGGAAGTGAGAGAAAAGTGTTTATTATGTTTGAAATATGGATATTTTTCTTACAAAAACACATGGATTCACTACAGGAGGCCTTTATTCACCTCCCGGAGCCGTGTGAGGCACGTTTTATTACGGATGCACGCACTTTATTTGACGACTTGTGGACTGTTCAACTGCATCGCCCGCTGACTGTAATGATAGAGCTTGGAATAGCCAGGACAATTTTTAATATAGCTCCGACTGGATTCGTCTGAAAGAAGAAAGTCATATACACCTAGGATGCCTCGAGGGTGAGTAAAGCACAAGCTAATTTTCATTTTTGCGTGAACTAACCCTTTAAGAGAAGATGTTTCTCCCATTGAGAAATAGCAAGCCAGTGTCTCTTCAATAGGAGGCATCCTCTCATATCCGTGTTCACTCATCCCCTCAATATTGGCATAGGTAGTATGCTGGAATCTGTGGATGTGTGAAGAAAATGGATTATTCCAAGCCTTCTCGATCCCCACATGGAGATCAGGAAGGAATGGAAGGCTCACTTGAGCTGGAGAGTTATGATCAGAGAGGTAACACTTGTCCAAACGGACCCGAACAGTTTCCTTCTTGACCCGCCTCCACGGCAAGCCTCGCCGTGGCACGTTCCATAACCTCCAATAGCTCAGCATATGCAGGGCAGGAGGGCTGAGAGGACTCAGTCTTAACTTCTTTGTCCTCATCAGCAATCTCCTGCTTTTCCTTACCAGAAGCCAGCAGAGCACTAGCCACTGGATCAGAGAATGTGAGAGAGATTTCTCACATCCTCTGAGCTGACGACCGTGAAAGAGAAAGATCCCTCTTTAGCTCATCAGCCAGGTCTACCTGAGAATCCCACAACCTCATTCTCCTCCGTGCCTCATCAGCGGCGGGTCCTAAGCCACTTAGAGAGGAGAGACAAACGAAAGCGGAGCTTTGTCATTGAAAAATGCTCACAATGAATGCAGATTGCCCCCTTGAGGACATCGCATGCGTGCTCTTCGCCCAAACATAAGACGCAAAGATTGTGTGTGTCATCAAGTGTCAAATAACGAGGACACGGATCCGCACACTTCATAAGCATCTTACTAGTGCTCACCATAGTGTAGTAGAAAGAACAGCATTCTTACCAGAATGCACGCTTCAAACAAAACAGTCCCTGAAGACGAAGAGGATGACGTGTTCTATTGGCACCCTTTTATACTGTGGTCATGCCGACAGTGATGTCATAGGCTGTCGCCGGCCAATGTTATTGTCGTGTTTAGACGTTTGCTTCAGACACCGGTCACCTGAGCATCCGCTAGAGCAGTGTTTCCCAACCTTTTTTTAGTCGCGGCACCCTTTGGAAATTTTAACAAACTTGTGGCACCCTACA